GTCTTACCTCCGACGCGGACACCGCCGTTAGGTGCTGTAACCTCCTCCCCTTAAAGACGATCTTCCCTTAGGAACCCCTGAAGGAATATAGAGCGCTTGTCGTGCTTTGATTCGTGCGGCGTAACTTTTACCCCCCGTGATCACGGGGGTCACAGCGTGCAGAGAGCACCGTCGTGCGCCATTGTGCGCCGTTGCGGTGAAGTATCACAACGCGAGTGATTCTGTATGTAATGTAACCGCATACATGGAAACGGGAAAATAAGGAGAGAAAATTTGCTTGCGCTCAAACGTGAAGTTATTCTCAGAGGTGGAGTTGTCGTCCTCTTCTTCTTCGGGACGGAAATATGTCCAGGTAACAAGATCTTCCGGATAATGTCATGAACAAAACTCCTGACTGACTATCTACTTCTAGCTATAATTTACAATTTAATTATTCAACTCCGAGATGTATAACGCGATGAGCTGAATCTCGGGAAACACTGAAGTGTTTTATCGTTGGGCACATCGATTCTTTCTATAACAAGATCTCTCGACGAGCTCGCGGCAGTGAGCGACAGGAACGATCGATCAAAACCTAGACCAAGTTCCCGGGTGTTCCTGACAGATAGAAGAAGTTTCGCAATGTTCCAAATTCGGTCGCGCGATCGCAGCGTTCTCTTTTTCCTTTTTTTTCCCAAAGACCTCCTCCTATCTGCGTGCGCACGGGCGCGCGCCGAAGGGATATTTTTTCCCAAATAATCCAAGTGGTTAGATTCCGTCCCTGACCCTACTGCAAGTCCGATTAGTGATCTAAACTTCGATGAACTTGGGATTCGGAAATCCGCTGGGGTATGCCGTCTCGTCTCTCTCTTTTCTCTCTCTCTCTCTCTCTCTCTGTCCCTGCCTTCCCTCCGCCACCTTCTCCCGTTTTCTCTCCCGCTCTCGCTTCCTCCTGGAGAATCCCGTTAGTCCTTTCTCAAGGATCGACGATATAAGGACCGGTTTATCTTTACTACTCCGGCAGCAGACGTTTCTCCGCGTAGAACTCGATTAAACTTCCATTGCAACTTTTACGAGACAGTATCGGAGGCTTAGGGTTGTATACGATCGCTAACTGTACTCTCATTCCTCCCCATGGAGCGTAAGTTTCATACTCCCCCTCTCCCACTGTCTCTCTCTCTCTCTCTCTCTCTCTCTCTCTCTCTCTCTCTCTCTCTGTCTCGCCGGAAACTAATGATAAATTGAAAAATTACCCGTCGATCTCACGAGCACACACGAGACAAGAAGTCGAGAATCGAAAGTATACGACGAGAGTGCGGCCAGCACGCCCCGAGATTCTACGTCGCGATACTTTGCATTCCCCATGCTTCACGTAGTCGTGTGAACGAATGAACAAAAATTGAAGTAACAGTGAAGTATAGTAAAGCGAAGCCACAAAGGGAGGATTGTTATAATTGTATCAGCGAGATGATTAGGTATAACTCGCTTCACAACACAGCGCGTCGCGAGAAGGACAGGGAGCGAAAGATACGGAGAAGGAGACGGCGAAAGAAAAGCGAAATATTTAAAAGCTCAAGCCGTCAGGGAACGTTGAGAAGAACGGTACACTCCGACATTATAAATTTGCCTCCGCTAAATTGTCAAAAGCACTTTACTGCGATTCATCGACAGAGCCGGATGAATTTATGAGAGTTTCTTAAGCTCGTTGCAATGGGATTCCGTGTCACTTATGTGTAACTCACACGTGACACGCTCGCCGTACGTGCCACCCCATCCACGTCTCCCATAAATCTTCCCTTATAGTGCAGTCGAAGCCGTGAGCAATTACACGAAAAATGGAAACGATAGCATGTACGCGCGCGCTCGTCGAACGCTGCAAAGCGTAAATCGATAGCGCATAGATTAACGTGCTTCTCGTGAAATAACGTCGAACCGAGGATTGCGTTGAGAAAGCGCGAGGAAATTTAACGGCGTGACGATATCGCGCGCCGTTACGATCACTTCCACGATAATTTCGCGAGACACGCCCGTGTCTCGTCGGTGATCTTTTAATCTTTCCGGCACACGGCATCGTTGCGAGCCGACACCGGCTCGCCCTGCGCTCTCGTGCGGTCGCGTAAATATACGTATGTCTTAAGCAGCGTAACGCTGTTTGGTGCATGCAAAGCGTAATCCCCAAAGTTCGCGAGAATCTCCAAGCGAGATTCACGAAAACGTGCGTTCGACGTGAAACAAATATCGAGGGACACGTCCAGGCGGGCTCGATCGAGGAAACGAATCGCATGAACTCGCGTGATCTCGCGACGATCGTCGTTCATTTCCCGCTGGCACTTTCGGCTGGCGCGGCGCGGCGCGGCGCCCTGCGGAATTTTCCGGAAAATCCGTTCACCCGCGCGAAATATCGCTGAGCAACGCGTGCGTGTGTGCATAATTTGTGTGTGGAATCTACGACACGCAATCGATGCGACACGATAAGGCGCGCGCGTATCGCCGTATGTTGCGTGAACGCTCGTGAAATTCCTGCTCGAGTACATCGGAATCCTCCCCCCTCCCCCCCTCCGCATGCGTTTACGAGTTCCTTAAGCTCGTCCGTTCTCGCTCGTGTCTCCTTTACGCTCCTCTGCGCTTCCCCACGCGCCGGGCTTGCACGCGCGTACATCTCGGAGAAGCTCATTTACGGTCCGACACCATGCCCGGCATAATACCGCGCATGGTGCGGAACGTTCCTTGGGTTATGGGGTCGGTCATGGTGGGTGGGTGTGTACCTAGTCTGCCGGCTGATTAAACCCGGGGTTTTACGGGCATTACGCGCACCACGTAGCTCGGCGAAATACCTCACACGTATAATGCGCGCACATGTGCGCGCCTCGGTGCATTTACACGCATAAATATGCCTGTATTATACACGCGAGTCGCGCGCGACACGTAATCGCGATCCGATTGACCTGATGTGGCCTTTCTTACTGGAGGTGTTCTCGTTAATCACCCGAGGCGTCGCTGGCGCGCTTTATGGTGTCTCGGCGATTATCGCTTCTTTCGCCGCGGAACCGCGGCGCCGCGTCGGCCACGAAGGATTCCTCGCGCGTAAAGCCCGTGTCACACTACGGATTGAAGATCAAGGATTGCGGAATGAAGATTAGATTTCGACAAATCAACGAACTTCGGTTTTCATTTGCTTTATTCCGATTGGTCAAATTTCAATCTTCAATCCGCAATCCTTGATCTTCAATCCGTAGTGTGACACGGGCTTAAGTGAGGGCGAGATTGTCCGGTGTCGTGCGCAATTGCAGTGGTTCTGATCTGGAATATATAAAATATATCTGGAATATATAAAATAAAGACGCGCGCACATCTTTCCTTTCACGTCGAGATAATGTGTGTCGCGAGTGGTAACACGATTATTCCTCAGAGCGAGCGGATGCACACCGTACGCCGCGCCGCGCCGCGCCGCGCCGCGCCGCGCCGCGTTAAACGATATTTGCACGGTGCTGGGGCGCGATATATAAACGCGCGCGGCGGGCCGCAAGTTGGCTTAATCGACGCGAATAAGTTGGCGCCAGACGAGAATTTAAGAATTAGATGCTCACGATGCATTTTCGGCCGTGCCTACTTTCTCGCGGCAGTGCACACGCGCGCGCACGCGGCCCTCCACATTTACACGCCGCCGGCGCACCTGATCGCGCCGGTGCCGGTGCAGCTCGTGCCGCAAGAAAGCAGTTTTGTTAATTATCCGACAAAAACAGCAGGCACGGTCTCACGCTGCCGACGCTATCAAGCGGCCTGCGCTATCACGTGCAAGCGGCCACGCGCGCGCGACGACGACGACGATGCAAGGAAGGGGGGTCGGCGGAAGAAGCGGAAAAATAATGCTGCAAGATTTCTCATACCGCCCAAAGCGTACCTGAGCGTTGCCGCACCGCAAGATAGAGAGAGAGGGGGGGGGGAGAGAGAGACAGAGAGAGAGAGAGAGAGAGAGAGAGATAATTGTAACGCTGGATGCACTTAACCGTTGACGCTTGACAATCAAATACTACGTAGTTGCGGCGCGGTTCTTCAGGGAAACACACGTCGCGAGCCGTTGCACCCGCAAAGTCCTCGAGTGCAATCTCCCGGGTTGCGGTAAATTCGCGAAAGCACCGGAAAAATGATTTGAGAAATTGGCGATTTAGTCGGGGTGAAACGGGTGTTACTGGGATGGGGGCGTCAATTTTACGCACACTTGGAGGAAATGGCTCCAGCGCGAGGGAAATGAATATTAGTAGAACGACACCGAGAATGACGAGACTAATATTGTTTTTGTCTTTTTTTTTTCCTTTTTATTTTTCTTTCACCTTTCCGCAACATCTCGCGGATCGGATCGAAATAACATCGCATCAGCTGGCGTTTTTCGGACGAGCGAGAAATTTTCACTACCGCGCGCTATTCCACACAGGCCTCTGGGGTACTTTCCTCGGGCGCGCGCGCGCCATTGCTCTGCTTGAGATTCCGCAAGCGATTCGAAAATACAAAATACGAGGGTAAGACCGCGTACGTACACGTGACGGCACCGCGAAAAAATACTACACGCCAGACGTAATCCCTGACGTTGAAGAATATAAAATGCTTCTCCTTCCCACCGAGTTGGCCCGGGCTCGCGCGGTTTGTTTGCGCGTCCAGCAGAGCTGACCCGTAGGAAAAATGAGGAGGTCCGTTGTCGCAGGACTCGCGATGAGTCCTGCGACAACGGACGACTAGGCCAGTAGTCGTTTCCTCTTCACGGCGACACAATGCGCTTAATCCTGCCCCACCTCGGAGAATTAGCCGCGTTAACTTTGCGTTTCTTTGCGACTGTGGCGGTTTAACGAGAGTCGCGAATGACGAGTTAGCTCGTCGGGCTGGCCAATCGAACGTCGCTCGATCGAGTAACGCGCGAATATCTTGAATCGATATTTTGACCGCAGCTTCCGTCGGGGAAATCAGAGGAAGAGAGAAAGGGCGGGGAGGAAAAATAAAGACGGTATCATGGTCTTGTCTCGTTACAGGTCAAGACGCCAGCATCGTGTTGTCACCCCTGATAGGCGTGGTGGTCGGCGCTCTCGTGACCTTGGTCCTCATCATCCTGGTCGTGGTAGTGCGAGTGCGGCGGGAGCGCGTGGCGAAACCGCGGCACGAGAAGCCAGCGGAACTCAGCGAACTGCCGCCGCAACAATACCCCTTGCAGAACCCGCAGCAGACCGTGGAGACTGATCCCGACGTGATCCCGAACAAGTTCGGTAAGACTCCACGGAGCCGTCGCCGCTAAACACCCCGCGAGAGCACGCACGCGAACGCGATTACGATCGTTTGCAGATTGTGTCCGGTGTAGAAGAGCTTGCGAGTATACGCGGAGCGACCCGCTCGGAAAACCTGAGATTGCGGGTGCGTTCCACCGCTAGAATTTTTTTCCTCCTTTCTACCGACTCTTTTCACCTCAATGCCGCCGATCTCAATGCTAGGAAAAGGAGAGGAACGGTCTCTCGTGTAGCGGCGTTAACGCATCGTCGGCCAGCTGTTTTAAGCATCGGCGAACGCGTCTGTTATTTTCCGCATAAGTTTACGTTAACGCACACTGTTGACACGATCGTTTTCAACATTGTCCAAGCCTCAGTTTCTGGCCAATTTTTTTTCTAAATCGTGAAAACACGCGCGGATCGGCCGAAAAAAACACCCGCCCGGCTAGTAAAACACGAATTTCCTCGTGATCGGGGATCAACAACATGTTGAAGTAATATTGAATTAAATACGCGCGCTACCGGGCTGGATAAACAACGCGAAAACTTTTGCCTTTCCCAGAGGAGATTTCCGGGTCCGTACACGCAGGATGTTCGGTAACGGAGGCCTTTTGACGCGGGCGGGTGATATTTTCGTTCGCAAACCCGAGTGATTAGTTTTCAGTGGCGAAAATAGTTTTTCAGTGGACTATGGAGTAACGACTATGGAGTCGTTTTGAAAGAGAACTTTGGCGAATAAACGGCGAGAAGCTTGCTTCACAGTTAAATTTGAGTAAACTTTACTTTGACTTTACCCATATAATTCTGACAAGGCATAGTTATTCGCGTGAGACGCGATATTTAAGGGATATAGAGGCAAAATTCACACGTCCTTCAATTCCCGCGATTTGTAGCGAGATCGTAAAAAATTTCTCTTACGTATTAATTTGAATAAATTACTCGAACCTTTCCAAACTAAATTTCATATGCCACGTGTTAATTCTCCCATATTCTTACCTGCGGAAATATAATGCACGATACAAGATAACACAAACTGAGCCCCCCTCCCTCCCGACTTAGGATCGACGAAAGAGAGAAAAAGAGAAAAATGAAGATGCGTCCTTTTCGCATCGGTAAGCCTCGTTTAATTTTCAAGCTCCAAAAATCACGGGAATCCGCGGCTTTTCCAATGAAATTTTGCTGGAAAGAGAAATTATTCGGTTTAACTCTTTTAAAACGTCGATCTTAGTCAGCCATCGTCGTGCTTTCTGAAGCGCGCGTCCGGTCGAGCGGCGAAGTTTGTTCGAGAAGTGAGCGAGGAGAAAAGAAAATTCAACCTCCCATCCTCCAAATCGCGGCGGGCGGAATTATCTTCACGGTAGCGCAGCGGTTTTCACAAAGCGGAAGGCAGGCAGAGCGCGGCGTATTTCTCGCTCGTATCCATCTCCGGCCGCGCGAGAGGGAAACTCGATCGACGGAACATCGGCCTGCGTCTCAAAGTCGCCGCCAAGTCAGACTGCATCCTGCGCGCGCGTTTTAATTAACGCGTTCCGAAGCGCGTAAAAAATTCTCGTGGAATCGACGAGCCAATAAAAGGTAAAATCGTCCGAACGAGACGTGCTCGCACGGCGGCAAGAGTTCTGCGTTCTCTCATAACGCCTCATAACCAAAAGCCAATAGAGTTCCCTTTTCTGATTCGGTGTTCCAGAGGGTAACCTCGTGGAGGTCAGCCCGCCGAGTTACCCGGGCGGTTATCCCCCGGAGCACTGGGTCACGCCCGGGCCTACGCCGAGCATAGACGAGCTCTGCCACAAGTTCGCGGGCAGGCCGACGGAGCTGAGGTTACCATCGAGAAGCACGATACCGAGTCTGCCAGGAATGCCGGTGACGGGGGTGATGGTGGGCGCCGGGCAGGGCGTCGTCATCGGGGGCACTCAAGGTGTCGTCGTGGGCGGCGGACAAGGCGTCGTCGTGGCGGGCGAGTGCCTCGACGGCGAGGCGATCAAGCGAAGACTGATGGCGAACAGGCTACCGGAGAGCTGCGTCTAGAGAAGATGGACTCGTGCCGTCAACAGTCGCGTGCCTCTTAGACCTTACGGTGCGGCCGCGGCAGCGGCAGCGGCAGCGGCGGACTGGCGTCGCGTGCGACTGTCGCGTGGAGCTCACGAGGCTCACGACGCCGACGGTCAGACCTCGGCGAGGGACAGATTCGAGAGAGTCGTCGCGTGTCCGTTCCCGTGAGACGGCCGACGTCTCGACGTCTGTCGGCTTCTCGAGTCGCCGAGTGCCAACCTGCGCGGCATCTCGCGCGCGATCGGGACGCGTTCGCGGACGGGGCGCGGATGGCGCGAACGCTACTACGATCCTCAGGCAGACCGCCGATCTAGCGCGCGAATTCGAGAATAACGAAAAGGCGATGCAACGCGACCTGAAGCGACATCGCGCGAGAGACATGGCGCGAGAATTTGCGCGCGGGGACGGCTTGCGAAATCAGAGGCGCCGTCCGTCGCGATTGTTTTTCGAAATACGATCGCAGTTGCGCCAGTTCTTTTCTCCTCCGGGAGCGCGGAGAACCGCGGCAGGTATGCGGGAGAAGTTAGCCGGCAACTTGGCGAAGTTCGCCGCCCCGGCGCGGCGCGGCCGCCAAGTTCCAACATTCCGTTTTCGGCCGTCGACCCGTCTCTATGGCCCCTTTTTGGCTTCGCACGCGAATGATCTCCAGCGGCGGTGTCTTCTCGGATATTTCTTCGGCGAGTTTGCGCGCTCACTCCTCTGTTCCTTCCCTCCACTCTCAGCGAGAGAAACCGAATTGCGAGTTACGGTATGCCATTCGGATTCAACGTCGAATTTCAAGCGCGCTCCCCCCGTCCCCGTTCGTGTCTCTCCGTCGCGAGAGAGCGATGTTCGCGTGTCGCGCGGACATTGACGAGCCGCTATCAGGTTCTTTCTTTCCTTTTTCTTCTGTTTCGGGCCTCGCTCGATTTTAATTCACGGGAAAGGCATTTCCCGAATGTCGCGATCACACTATGCCCGGGATGCGATATAGATTTGCGTGACTGTCGGCGTATTCCTCACCTCACCATTTCCTTATCGCTCATCTTCTCCTTCCTTTTTTCTTCTCTTTCGTGGAAGGAGAGAGACGCGATTACTATTCGCCTCTCGCGCGCGAACTTAACTCGCATCTCGCGGCGTCCCTAAATAAATCCGAGTTGCAGCAACGAGGCGTCGGTCCGGAAGCATCAAGCCGTGAAACACGAAGAAAGATAAAAGGTTCTCGAACGAACCCCTTTTCCGATGGCTCGAATGAAGACGAATGGAGGAACCGCGCGAAAATATACCGAGAATAAGAGGGAAGACAAGAAAGGTAGGGGGAAAAGGAAAGAATGAGAAGGAGAAGGAAGGGAGGGAGGCGCGGAATGAAAAGAAGAAAGGGAATGCTCGATGCCACTTTGGCGTGTAGTTTGAAGGCGTGAAATGCGGTTTTAAGGTTGAACGATCGGCTTCGATATCGCGATAGAGAGGGAAAAGGGAAAAGAGAGTGAGAGAGACAGGGAAAGAATGCGAGGGTAGGGAGGCGGGGAGGGGCATCGATATTCCGCTCAAATCGAGAATTCGATACTTTTAGGACGCAACTTTCGCACGCGATATCGAGCGATATCCGCGCTATTTACGCTCGCAGGACGCGACGAACGAACGGGTGGCTAACGATACGATAAAATTTTCCAAGGCACGCTCTCTTTTTCTCCAAACGCGCTGACGAGTCATCGCAATGCACGTCGAGTCTCCGACAGACAGAGACGGACCGACGCGACGGACAGATGAATAGACGACACGGGCAGACCATTAGCGTAATCTCTACCGCGTATCGTCACAATCTCGAGCAAACGGAAAGCAAATTCAATTAACGGACGGTTCAACGATGAGACAACCATATCCACATCTCCATTGTCATGTCTCGGGAGGGACGGAAATATTGGCGAATGTTCGCCGAGCCGAGTGTGTGCGACGGACAAAGTCGTTAAACGATTTTCACGCAATCGTGGTCGCAGGCGCGCGCGTTATAACTACTGGTATAACATGTAATTGTGATAGAGCATTTATAAATTTTTCTACCGCTGATAATGAGTTTTTCTGTACTCCCGCGAACGTCGAATAAGCTCGCTCGCGTAGGCCAACGCGACAGACTCGAACATTCCCGATGATGATTCCGCAGAGTATATCCTCACCGGAGCGCGCGTGTTGTACGCGTACGCGTGTATGCGTGCGTGCGTGCGTGCGTGCGTGCGTGCGTGCGCGTGTGTGTGTGGTGTGTGTGTGTGTGTGTGTATGTGTGTGAGTGTGTGTGTAAATATATACATAGTCTTAACAGGTTCCCCGTGAAATCGTTGTCACCGTTACTTCGCGCGATCCTGTTGCGAGAGAAAGAAAGATAGGGAGGAGAGGAACGGAGAAATAAGGAGAACGAGGAGATGAGGAGCACGGTGCGGCATCCGCGGATCTCTGTGCCCGCGTGATGCGAAACTTCACTCTGTAAGGTTGCAAAAACTGGTCTTCCACGTGACACTTCGTGCGACGAAGTCATGAAACTTCTACGGCGAGAATAGAACTAACGAATCAGCAAAAGGCGTACCCCTCTAATGGAATGGAGTAACGTGAACTTTGTTCGCGAAGAAGTTCGCGCCCTTTGAATGATCGATAGACATAATGCGTAAAAAAAAGGGGGGGATGCGAGTGACGGACAGAAAGCGAGAAAGTGAAAGAATGAGAGAACGAGAAAGAGAGAAAGAGAGAGAGAGAGAGAGAGAGAGAGAAAGAGAGAGAGAGAGAGAGTGTATGTGTGTGTGTGTATGTGAGAGAGAGGGAGAAAGAGAGAGAAACAAGAATAAATAACGAATGTTGTGACGGCGAAGTCGCATCTCTCGGGGTACGAAAACTGAGTAATGTCAAATCAATCGTCGAGTGTCTGTTTCGATGTATAAAAAGGATAATGATCAAACACGATGATGGTTGCTCGTTAGCTAATGTATCGCTGTATATACATGTGAAGAGTTTTAAGTGGACGAGACGCGGCCTCGTCGAGTTGTCGAGGTGACCGGTAGAATGGCGTTATCGAGCACATCTCGTTCGATCATCCCGTTTATCCTGCGCGCGCGAACGAGAAGGACGTGAGCGGGAGAGGACGCGAAAAATTGTCCTCATCGATCCGCGAGAGAGCCCTTCTCGCGGTCACGTTCGCGCGAAATATCGTGCTCGATAGCTCGTTCCGCCGGGATCTTTCTATTTCATCGTCACGGCGTCGCGCTTCTCCGACGATGACATCAGATTTCGATGTTCCTAAAGGTAATTTAAGTGAGCCCAGTATCTTTTGTTCCGAGACACGCGCCGAGGGAAGAGCGAGATGCATCCTGCGATTTCAATCGCGAATTTCGCAATTACTTCTCCCTCCCCTCTCTTTCTCCCTCTCTCCTTTCCTCCCGCTTCCCTCACTCTCTCTCCCTTTTCTCCATATCTTTTTTTGTCTCTCTCTCTCTCTCTTGAAAAATTCGTCCTTTTTTTTTTATTTTCTCTCCCTTTGCAGCCATCAAAAAGATCGCGACGCTGCATGATGAATGAGATAAGCCGATCTGCTTTCCACTTTCTTTTATCGAGTATTTATGACTGTTCTTTGAGCGCTAATTATCAGTTCCGAATGACATCGTCGGAGAATAGCCGGCCGTGAGTTTGGCGGCGCATATCTTTCACGTCCATGGAAATTCGTTCGAAGTGCGAGGGTGAGAGTGATGAGCGAGAGGACGTTTCGTATTAAAGCGCGCGCGGACCGAGAGTTAGAAATAAGACAAAGTACTATCGTCCGTATTCGTTTTGTAAAACTGTGGCAGACAAGGGAGAATCCGGAGCCGGAAGGGAGATGGAGAAAAGGGCACTGTCGAGGTTTATTAACCTTTTGTGTGTAAGGAGTCTCGTTTAGCGAGCGTGCGGCGCGAGGCGAGGCGAGGATATTCGGCCGAAAGTAGGCGCCGAAAATAAAACATTCTCGGTCGGCGCGATAACCGCCCTCAATAACAATCAGCTGTGAGGGGGTTGCAGAGAGAAAGGAGCGCGAGCGTGCGTGATCGCGAGTGAACGTACCGGCGAGAAAGGAGGTGAAACAGAGAGAGATAGAGAGAGAGAGAGAGAGAGAGAGAGAGAGAGAGAGAGAGAGAGAGAGAGAGAGAGAGGGAGAGAGAGAGAGAGAGAGAGAGAGAGAGAGAGAGAGAGAGAGAGGGAGAGAGAGAGAGAGAGGGAGAGAGAGAGAGAAAAGAAGAAGTAGGAGAAGAAGAAGAGAAACAAGCAGTGGCGAATTAATCGACGATGTACATAATCGGAGAGTGCTGTACGTAACAACCACGCAGAGAGAGTCCATGTAAATCGATCCGCGTAAAGCCGAACCTTAAGTTCACTGTATAGGTGATTTCATATCAGATCCATATCGTTTAACCAAGTCGTATGTATATAACTACACCATGTTTTGATCTGAATAAACTGTTTAATTGTCCGAAAGCCGTCAGTGTCGCTGTTTATTCGCGTCCTCATCCGAATCCTCGTACACCACCTGCCACGTATTACTGCGGCGTCGTGAGCGCGAATGCGAGCGCGCGAGCGCGGTATACCCGGGAGAGAAGCGCGCTTATAAAGTAAAATAGGCGCCTTGACAAACGACGCTCACGTGCCGCAAAAAGATAGACGCGGCTGAAAAATGGGGCCGAAACTTCCTTCCGGTTCGACGAAAAAGGAATACTCAGCACGTGAGAAGTCACTCGGAGCGACGGAGCTTTGAGATATTCGTGCTGCGCTCTCGAGGAAACTTGGCCGCACGTAAGTTCCCTCTACCTCTTTCTCTTTCTTTCTCTCTGCACGGCTATAGCGCTCACGGAGTGAGAGTCGCGCACGTCGTTAGAGACGCTCGTGTGTGTATCGTTAGAATATACGCGGCTCATTTGACCGCGCGGAGAGCTTGGCCGAGACGCGGAACTGAGAGACGTCCTCTCTCCGCCCGCTCCTCCTAGTTTTGGCCTTTTTTCTATTTCCCCGCGCATACGTACGTCGCGCATTAGCCGTGAAAAGTCGCGCGTCCGGCGAATTCCGGAAACGTATGGCGGAGACTGATAGAGAACGCGTGTGTGTGTTGGTATTCGCCGCCGGATGGGCGCCGGCAAGACTTTTGCCCGCGTACTCCCGAATTTCAACACACGCGGAGAGGGTCGTATTTTACGTCGACCGGGGAAGTAATTTCGCCTGCTCGAT